CAACTGGTAAAAACATAAATGTATGACGAATAAATGACAAGTTTGTCATCTCACTCTGAAAGAGCTCACATGGGAGCATCAGAAGGCACAAATGCATGTGAAAACCCACATTTTTCTCATTTCATTTCATCAAAAGACTGTCAGAACCCAGGGGTAATATTTAATGTAATAGACATTAAATGTCTCTAATCAATAATAAATGCTTTTAGCCCATCCAGCAGCAGTGGCATTGAACATTCCCTCCTAAAACTGTAAAGAGTTCTTGGTACTTCTCCCAACAATGACAGACAAAATTAGACTATATGGATTCAACCTTCCCTTGTGGCAGTGAAATATGCTGCGTTGAGCTGTTTCAAACTTTCCTCTCTCTCTCTCTCTCTCTTTTTTTTTAATTCCTAAGGGACACTACACCTCGCAGGTCCGCACCTTCCCTGAAACAGCAGCAGCTCATATGAAGTCCTCTGCTTGCACCCTATACTCACTGCCGCAACAACCCCCCCGAAAAAGGCAGTACAGCCTGTCATGCATCATATTGTTTGTCTTGTTATGTTGCCTTCAGTTTCAAGGATGCAGCAGTTCAACACCTTCTCAATAAAATATGGCCTTTATCCTCCAGCCTTGAGCTGCTATATGTCCTGACATTTTTATCAAGAGTTAAAGTGATCTCAATCGAGCTGACATTCTTACGGGTCAAGGCAATATTGTTTTTGGAGATTTCAGACATGTTGTGGAACAAAGCTTTATCACTGCCTCTCCTAATGTCACTTGTGATGTTATTTGGGCTTCAAATGCTGCAAATAAACCTTTGAATCATTTGTTTTTTGGATCACAGCAGTTTTATCTGATTGATTGTCTTGAAAGGGCAACAGGGTGTAGTTGTCACTGACACAAACTGGGTCTACACTTGAAATTCTTGTCACTGAATGGTTATCGCTAAGGAAAAATTACATACTTTCACCTCCACAATAATATATAGAAACAACATCAAAGAGTGCAAAATCTAAGTATAGCTATTTTGACTTGCCTTTATAATTTACCTCTGGCTCTAGTACAGACAACCATTTCAACCTGCTCTTCCTATCCACTCTGTTTTCCACATTTGGCACACAGCCCTTATTGTCTCTGTTTCAGCACAGTTCACACAAACTCTGACTGCTGCGTGCTGGTATTCTTTCTCAAACTCAGACTGCACCACAGCCATTTGAGAAAGTCACAGTTCATGTTTTGTTGCAGTGTGATATCAAAACATTCCCAAACCGTCCCATAAGCAGATCAGGCATCTCACTTCTATATGAGAAATATTATAAAGTGAGAGTAGTCTTTCAGAACTATAAAAAGCCCATTAGAAATGGACTTGGTGAGGCCCCACGCTCCCATCGCTATCCCTAATATTTAATCGTGATGGAGCAGACACGTCATCCAATCGCGGGGCCTGTCAAACTGTCAGTCATCATGAGGCAATCAAATAGCAAAATGTCAAAACAAAACTACCTGTCAGGTGCTGTGAGGAAAGAGATGAAATAAGCGAAGACACCAAAGCACAAGTTAAAAGCATCGTGCCAAGGGGAAAGAGTTTGTAAAAAGGTACATAAAGGTATCATATCATGCTTGTGGAAAACAAACGTTAAATAGCTTTCCTGCTGCGCACAGCTCTGCTTGAAGCACCCAAAAGACGAGGAAGGGCTCTGCAGGAGGGTGGGTGGGGGGAGGATCAAAATCCCTAACAACCAAATCCAAGTCAAGAATCTTTTAATGTCTGAACCGCCCGTCTGTGTCACACTCGTTTGGAGTCCGCACCGCTGCATAACTAAGACAAGAAAGTAAGGCAAAGGCAGTTGTTTAATGTAAGCAGCACAGCGCGCACGGGCCTTTGATTTATGAGCCAGAGCAGTCTCATAGTCTCATACTAAGACTCCAACTCTCTGGCCTGTAGAGGAAATCTGGGCCTTTGCCATTAGCAATTAACCAGCTCTGGAACAACTTGCCCATAGTCAGCTGTGAGAAAACAGCATTATAAGAGGCAAACAACAACACTAGTAACAATAATTGTTATTGTTAAAAGGTTTTCCTTCAGTCTGAGCTGCAGCTAATGAGATAAAGCACTGATAAATCCTTTCAGCTCTAATCTATTTCATGGGATTGAGATAAATTACAGGGAGATATAAAGTGGATGTTTTACTTGTGGCAGCCAGGAGGCCCTGGCCTCTCTGGTAAGACACTCTTCATTAGTGGCCTACAATAGGAGCAGAGGAAACACAAAAGGAGGAAGGCATCGGCATCAGACAGTGAACCATGAGGGTCCTTTGCATCTGGTGAATTCAAATGTGTTGCCTCACCAACTGATAGCCTCATTTACTCCCTCTCCCCGTTCCCGCTAATCGCTGAGATTTGATCATATCTCTCAGCACACATTTCGGTATTCCCCCTGTGGGTCTTTATTTCTCAGCGAGGTTCTTGGTTAATAAGAAGTGAATGCAGAATGTTTCAATCATCAGGTATTTTTTTCTTCTCTCTCCCAATTTACCCTGCAAGCCTCGACGTTTCTACACTCTTTGTAAGTGACTGAAGACAATACATGAAGCAGCCCACTGAGCTTCCCAATTGTGTCACTTCCAATTAGCCCCTCTGAGACATATGCCCTTTGGCTCACCAGCGTTCAAGTTAAAAAGAAGTGAGCGGTACCCCTTGTATTGTACCCCGCCTTCCTTCGCTCTCCCTCCATCGAAATTCATGCGAGTCTGGATTTGTGAGTCCACGAAAGAGAGGAATCGCAAGAAAGACAGACAGGGATTTTTTAATCCTATCACCAAAAATAGCAGCTTGCTGTAATACTGTATGTATGGGGCTGCTGTGAGCTTAAAAGGAGCTCTCCTTACATAAAAGTGCACATTTCTGAATAAGCCAGCCAGCCTTCACCTTAATCATCCTCCATATTATACATCATTAATACTGATGTTCCTAAGTAGCTAAGAACTAGGACATGGCACGTTGTGGTGGTCCTCAGTAGATTTATCCTTCTAAAAGACCTGGCAGCTCTGTCAAATCTGCCTGCAACCTGCTTTTCTGTCACATCACTTTCTGAAGCCAAACTGAAGTGATGGGGATTGTAAATAGCAGAGTGGTGAGCCACAGTATGCGCGCAAATGTTTTGGAGTTAATGAGAGGGCTGGAGCGCCGCAGCTTCTTAAACTGGGGCAGAGAAACTTGCAGCTTCAGTGGAAGCCTTCCCTCAGACCTCACGTCCCGAGAGGACACATGTGCAAAAACCAACAGCGCACGTAAACAAAGCTGGTGCCGTGCGGAGCCGTGTCCACTTACTGTAATCAAACACACAAACAAAAAGACATGTCCATGGCCAGAGCTGCAGTGTGGACAGGACTCTATTTTTGCAAAGAGAGAGGGCGTGGGTTTCTTTTTAACTTGAAGAGGTGCATTCAGAATCAAAACTGGAGCAGAAAATCACACTGACATATTTTGGGCATACTGGTAGCCCAAATGAAGCTCAATTTCCTATCTTTAATGAGTCAAACTAAAAACAAAAGATAGAAATTGATGCCAAAATCTGCCGCACATGAGAGAAAGAGTAAATTACAGGAAGGTGTTATGAAAATGAAAAGTTTTTTTTCCTTCATCAAATTATATGTGAGCCCATTCCAAGCTTTCTTAAATAGTACCAAAGCCCCACCTTTGGCACCGACAGTTCAATCAAACAATTTAGTTTGTGAATGTAGTAGTTTTTTAACATTCATCCAAATATTCACTCAATCCAATACAGCAATGTCCAGAATTGTGTGTGATGGTTTTAAACTGCAGTCATGAGTTAAGAGATGTAAACTGACCCAACGTCATTAACTGGGTAATGTGATCAACATCCCACTGGGACACTTTTTCATTTCCGTGGAGCTGAGTATCTGAGGAAACAACAGCTTTTCTGGCAGAGAAAAGTTGGCCAGAGGTGAAATTTTCATGGTTATCAAGATTTCCATTCCTCCTTGTTCCCTACCCAATGGGATCTTTCTTCATGAACAACACTTCTGTCTGAGAGCTCAAACAAGATTTTATGAGATGTTAATTACAACCATTAAAACCTCCCAGTTCTCCATAAATGTCTAGATCTTAAGCTACGTCCACAATGCCAACCTTAGTGCCCAATTTGGATTCATTGCTCTGATCCAATTTTTTTTTTAAGTTGTTCACATTATTTTTTTAATGTTGCCAATATTGGATTCCAGACTGAACTGACAAAGACGTCACATGCAGCATGCTGTCACATGGCACTAAACGTGCAGGCCAATGAAGTCAGTGTTTACGGTTTCATTTCCAAGTGAGCGGATGTGCAGTGGAAGCCAGCAAATTTGTGAGCAGATGATACACAAGGATGAGGAGAAATAGAGCCAGATATTTAATTATTGCTTTTTTGTGGAGCAATGGCTGCTTCTCCTGTACGTAGGTGTATGTGGATGCGGAGTCGGAGCCAGCAGAGGTGGGATTGTGACATGAATAGCTTCAGATTTCATCCAAAATTTCAGGATGTCAAGGACTACTTTCAACTACATCTGTCAGGGCCTCTCTGCTGAGACACTCCTGCTGCAAGAATGTAGATCTAAAGTAGAATGAATAACTGCTCAGACTAAGGTCACTCTGCATAAAAATCCGACCTGCATCTGATTCAGGACCACATATGAAAGTGGCCCACATCAGAATTAAAAGGATTATTGTGCTGTCATTGTGCTGTTCACACTGCTATGAAATAAAAAAACAGATCTGAGTCCCATATGAGCAGAGAAAATCCAATTTGGGCTACTGTTGCCTGCAGTCTGAACATAGCCATAGAGAATCTGTAGTCTTCCTATGCAAAGTAAACCATCAAAATGTATGTGATCTGACAGCTCGAAACTTGATTGCCTCAGATCTCTTCATAACCAAAGCCCCTGCTCTGCACACCACCCGTACTACCCACTGCAGGTGCAAACACAAACATCACAGAAATGAAAACTCACCTCCAACAAACTGGATGCCACCAGCCACACGGCCAATTGTACGAGAGATGAGGTCAGAGATGCAGCAGCCCATGAGAGCTGTGAGGGCCACGAGCAGGAGAAGGCCGCACCCCACGCCCGTCACCACTGTGCAGATCCTCCACTCCAGACTTGGTATGCCGTGGAAGGAGGCGTAGCGCCCGCACTGCTCCAGCATCACCGTGGCCTGCTTCTCCTCGTCCCTCACCGGGTAGGAGCAGCGCCGGAACGTGCCAAAGGACACTGGCTTGTCCATCTGTGTCCCCAGCAGCCAGTAGGGCATGAAGAAGCCAACGCAGGAGGCAGCAGCACACAGCAGGGACAGCAGGGCCCAGATAACACCCGTACATGTCAGACTAGACGCCATGGTAAACAGTCTGCAAATGGTTCACACTGTCACTGAACTAACAGCAGTTATATGAGCGGTCGCTGTTTTGTGGGAAGCCTTGCAGTGAGCATTTAACACTAGCAGCCTTCACCTTCTCAGTGACTCCGGGTCCCTGTCAGAGGAAGAGAAATAGAAAAGACAGTTGAGTCATCTGAGGGAGCAAGTGTTTGGCTTTTGGCTTAATGAGCTAAAAATCAGAAACCTTCTCCACAGTCATTATAAGTGCAGATATAAACACAAATATGAAAGAAACCAAGTAGAGAACATTATTGCTCATTAGTTTGTTAGACCTTTTCCTTAACTATGAAGTAAACAGACAAGTAGACGACACAAAACTGGACACAGTTTAATAATTGGCAAAGTAATTTAATATATTCAATCCAATTAGGATTTGATTCATACATAATAGCAAACACAATACACCAATGATTAAACTCAGGCCAATAAATAATCAACTCAAATTTGATAAGCTTGGGGCAATGGTTATTTTCCACATCTTTAAAGAGTTTTACTTTATTATCTCACATGGAACAGCTCCCTATTTATCTGATGGATGAATAATCCTAGCTGTTAGTTCACAGAATTCAGCACCTCTAAGGCAGCAGTGAATATGCATATTATCAACTAGTTTACCCCAAAGGGAAGGCTGTTATTGGAGTAACTGGTATTATAAAGTGTGGCCACTGTGAATTCTCCTTTATTTTGAAAACAATGTCGACCATTATACAAAACAGCATCAGCATTCCTCAAATAAACTTTATGATATATCACACACATAACAGCAAACTACAAACATTGCAGCCTGGAGCACATCACGGGACTATAATGACATATGAAATATACATTAAGTGCCACAAACTCAATGGAAACTGGACATGTAGTTGAGGACACCCACTAGAAGTGCCCACAGGAGCAGCCACTACAGGAGCATATAGTGATTTTCGTTAGGGGTGACCTCACGGCACACGCTATCGCAGTGCTCACCCAGTCGGAATGTGAATCATGGAAACACGGCAAAAAAAAATGAAAGAGAGGAAAGCTTACATGTTGGGAGAGCTCCGGAATAAGGTGCGCTCGGTGAACACTGAGAGGTTATTTCCATCTGCTGACTCCAGCTGTGTTGGGGCTCAAAGCAAACTTTTCTTAGGTCGAGCAAAAGAGAAAAGAAATGCGTTCGAGCTGACAGTGTAAATCCACAAAGTGTCCGCAGAATTCGTTCACAAATCACTTCCTTCTCATCAATGTATTTATCCGAGGCAAAGATCAGTTATTCACTCCGGTGCGGTGCAGAAACGTGCGGGCGGCGCTGACTGTCTGTGGGACTCCGGTTTCCACATTCCTGCTCAGAGAGAGGGAGTCAGAGAGAGAAGGAGGCGGGAGGGGAGGGGGCGAGTCCATGAAACACTCTCGGGAGGTGACCATCAATCACACAAATCCCCACCCAGGGGCTGGACTCACCGCTACTATCATTCCCTACATGCTTTCGTTGCATTCAAGGACGCCTCGTAAACCGCTAGACTTGGAAATAGCATACTGAATCTTATGTTTAGTGAACCGCAATTGAGTTACTGTATCACCGAGGGAAAATACTAGTGTGGTATACTATTGGTACATGGTAATAAATACTAGTTTTAATAAACGATTTATTTCACAAGTTATTGAGTTACTCAAATTCAAATTGGTGACATCTTAATTTCCTAGTGAACCGCAGCAGGTAGAGATCATATCAGAGCACATATATTGTATATCATCATTCTAAAGTGATTATTACGTTTTTATTTTTTTTATTCTTCATTTATTTATTTATCTTTCTACTTATTGGTTGCATGTTTAGTAGGGCTGAATTCATTGTCATTTCATTGTCGACTCATCTGTTGATTATTTCTTTGATTAGACGACTTATCATTTTATCGAAAAATGTGTTAAAATGTTGAAAAATGGCGGTCTGTCTCTCCCAAACCCCAAAATTATGTCATCTAATGTCTTTTTTCGTACTCATGCCAAAGGGCTTTAGTTCACCATCATGGGAGAGTGTGTAAAGCTGCCAATATTTGAAAGTAAGAAGCTGCAATAAGAGTATTTTGGGGTACTTTTACAGTACTTTTCTATGAAAAATGACTCAAACCGTTTTGTCGACCACTAAAATAGTCACCGATTATTTTAATAGTCGATTAGTCATTGATTAGTCGACTAATCGTTGCAGCCCTAAGTTTAGTCTGCCTTTGTAGCTATTTAACATCTTAAGACAGTTGCAAGTAAGTGTTATCATTTGGAGAGTTTTGTGAATGTGCTTGCTTGATCAAAAAATAATACTGAAAGAATATGTTTGGTAAAAGTAGTTTATATTTAAGCAGCATAATCAGATAATTCAATGGTCTAGAAAAGGACATATTAACATTTATAGAGAACTGTGTGAAGCCCTGTCCATCCATCCATTTTCGAAACCGCTTATCCTCTTGAGGGTCGCATAGAGACATAGAGACAGACAACCATTCAGACTCACATCCACACCTATGGACAATTTAGAGTCACCAGTTAACCTATCCCCAACCTGCCCGTCTTTTGACTGTGGGAGGAAGCCCACGCTGATATGGGGAGAACATGCAAACTCACAGAAGGACTTCCTTCTGGGATTGAACCAGGAACCCACTTGCTGTGAAGCGACAGTGCTAACTACTACATCACTGTGCCGCCCAAGCCCTGTCCAAAAAAAAAAGTGTTTCATTACACCATTACACCACCTATAACTTAGACCCACAATTAGTGTCTCTGGAGATTAATTTACTTCAGCAATGTTGTCTTGAAAAGGGCTCTAATAGCTGCAGACACAATAAAGGCTAATTAAATATTTCACAATATGAAAAGTACAAAAATATTACTGACTAGTTGAAACCCACAACTAGTCAATGCTTGAGTAAATTTAAGTGTTATGTACTTTACACCAGAGTTGTAACAGGTAACTTGATTTTTTTTCTCCCATCTGTTTATTATCAGTGTGTTACAGTGTAACTGATGTAAGTATCCTTTAGCCCTTTTTTAAAATGATGATGAATCATCCCAAAAACATTTGGCCTGTAATATGTGTATCTGTGGTTTATTAGTCGTGGCAGAAAGATCTGTCTATCTGAGGAAGTTTAGGTGGATTTTTTGAGGTGGCCAATAAGCCAAGTGGCTGATTGTCATGCACTTAACATGTTATTAAGGCCTGACCTGTGCTGCTGGGAAATCACCTCACTAACTACAAGGTCATCCTATCAGTAATTCCACTATCTTAATTCTGTAGAAATGTATAGAAGTTTGGTTATTCCAATGAATGTGCAGATACAGGTAATTTAACTATTCAAAATTCTGATGAAAAAATGACACATTTCATTAGTGGCATAGCCTAATTATAGATATTCCAAGATATGGTCAGACCAACTTCATTGCTGAAATGATTGGAATATTTCCAACAGCACTTGAACGCCACATTGTTCTCTGCTGTCTTCCTCTCAATGATGTGTGTGTGTGTGTGTGTGTGAAGACAGAAGTAGGGACTTGTTTTCATCAGGAGATCTTTTAAATGTTGCCGTCTCTGTCTCAGATAATAAACTGACTAAACGAGGCTCTTATGAGCACCATCGCTCTACCTTGTAAGCATATGCCTTGAAAACTCTATCTTTTTATATGGCATGTGTTATTTTGTACTTGGAATACACATCATAGCTCAATGACACACTTTCCCCAAGAAGTGAGAAAGCCCACAGTGAAGATGAGGAAATATCATATCTGTCTGATGTCATTACCAATATTGCAATCATCAATCCTTGGTGGCATCTTTCCCTTACAAACAACAACATATTTCAATAAAAAGCGTCCCGTTTACCCCGGAACCTTGTATCGTTGCAGGGCGGAACCTTGTACGCTTCTCCTCTATGCGCCGACCGGACGTTGATTTCAGACGGACCAAAACATCTTTCGGAAAGTTGACGTGGAGGTGTTTGTGTATAATGGCTGATACTAAAGTAGAAATGACAACTGACAGCTCCACTGCAATACAGAACCCAAATGCAACCTCTCAACCCAATAATCCTTTGTCAAGGAAGCTTAACAAAATACTGGAGACGAGGCTTGATAATGACAAGGTACGACGGAAGAGTTTAGCTTCATGCTAGCCAGCTAACATTAGCTAAATCTGCAAGATAGCCGCGCCGTAACTGGACAGAATACAGCTCATAGATAATATTGTCGACCCACCAGGAATAGTTGTTCCAAGGAAACGATATTGCACCTTCCAGGTTGTAGTTAAGCACTGTAACAACGCGAAAATGTTTACTCATTTAAGTTAATGTTAGCGTGTGGCTGCAGTCATTCACTGTGAACTGTAAAAACTTGAGTGTCAGGTCCTAGTGTGTATTTACATCGCAAATAGCTTCCCTTATGAAGATGCCAGAGGTTTATCCTAAGTTAACGAAAGGAGAAAATGCAGCTTTTTCCCCTTAGTTTTTGCAACAATGGTCTGTGTGCAAGAGGACCAGATTCTCAGTGATATATTTGTTCTAGCATCCGGATTGACTGACATTTCAATGTCCTGCTTTGCTGTCAGGAGATGCTGGAGGCGCTGAAGGCTCTCTCTGTGTTCTTCACCGAGAATAGTTTGCGCACCAGGAGAAATCTTCGCGGTGACATAGAGAGACGAAGCTTGTCGATCAACGAGGAGTTTGCACGAATATTTAAAGATGTAAAAGAGGTAACGTAGAGCTTTGCAAGAAAATCCAGTTTATAACCCTCTAACACCATTTAACCAGCCAAAGCATCTGTGCCGGGATTCTTAGGTGGATTGGGAAATAGTCACATGGAGAGGCTGTTGAGTAGGTTCACCTCTAAATTGTTAACTATATATTACAAAACAACAAAGATTGCCCCTGGTGCTAAATTAATAGAAATGTTTTAGTTCCTGTAGACTATGATAGTGATGTAGAACAGCAGATCCATTTTAGTGAGTGCATTTTTAAGTTCAGGGAGTTACATGGAGTTTTAAGCTTAAAGGTGTATACTGGAGAATTTATTAGCAGCAACAATCATATGACCAAAGACTATTGAAGAATGTGAAAAACTAAGCAGACTACTTCTCGGTATTTGTTTGAACAGCAGTGCAGCCCATTTGACTTTGACATGTGTGAATGGTTTGCATCTGCCTCAGTACTGTTATAATTGTGACTTCATGTTCTCCATAGGAGCTTGAAAGTGTTCATGAGGATGTCCAGGCCATGAGTACGTGTTGTGAAGAAATGACAAATAGATTAAAGGTACTGTGTATCATCTCCACATGACATTTGAAAATTCTCCTTTACATGTTATGATTACTAAAGCTAAAAACAACAATGGAGGACAGTGTAGATCAAATGTATGATGTTTATCACTTCACATGGTGGACTTATCAGATTTCTTTTGAGAGCATAATGTTTGCAAGACTTTTTTTGAAAACACAGCAACTTTTCTTCAACAGGCTGCCAAGGAGCAAACTCAAGACCTCATAGTAAAAACCAACAAGCTGCAGGGAGAGAAGTGAGTTGACTCTAAAGGGGTAAACATTTTGTGTGCGTGTTTGGATGTGTGTGTGAATGTATGTTTGCATGTGTTATTGCCCAGAGTTCACCTTGTAACTTGACATGTACATGTGTACTTAAGCCTAGACAGACATAAGAAATCAGTGGAGAAAACAGCAAATCCAGTTGCCTTTTCTTTGTTTGTCCAGAAATCCTACCTACTGGCTGACAGAGAATCTTTAAAAGATATATCTTACAATTAGTGGCTTTTATATTTACTTGTTCCTCTTGTTGCTATATAAGTCAGATACACCGAATGACCAGAGATCACTGCTACCTTTGAGGAACTTCCTATTTTAATTGTTTGACTCTGGTACACAGTGTGTCAGAAAGTTAATTCAGCTCTTCTGTAATTTTATGGGCAGTAGTTTTATATTTATGTATTGCATTAAATTACATCGTCTTTTTGTATTTCAAGTTGCTCTGTAGAATTTAGTGAGCACTCAAGAAACTTCAGCAGTAGTCTCAACAAAAACTGAACCTTTTTATGTAAGATGCTCTTTATTGTTGTTGCTGTTGTAATGGATTACTTTAAATATGTTTTGTAGTCAGCATTGTTTGCTCTCATGCAAGTGCTGATATTGGAATTATTTGAGAGACTCAACCTTGTTCCATCGTAACAAGCACACAATGTTTCTCAATCTGATTGTAACCACATCACCAAAATGTAAAACGAGACCATATGTCAGGGCTGCTGCCTTGAACGTTTAAACTAGCGTTTTCAGAATGTCAGTGAGAGATGGAAGAGATAAGATGGCAACTTCATCCCTAAAATATCTGCAGAAA